TCCTCCTCCCTTACTCCTTTCCTATTTCCCTTCCTCTATCACTCCCCACCTTCCCTTCCTCCTTTCTCCTTCCCTATAACATCCCCTCACTCCTTTTCCTTCCTTCCTCTCTATCTCACTACCTCCCCTACCTTAATCCCTGCTTTCCTCCCTTTACCTCTCGCTCATTTTTATCTTTATCCCCTCCCCTCCCTCTCTCCTTCACCCCTCACTCCGTCTCCCCTCTCCCACGCTCTGCTAGTTTCCCTCGTTTGGATAGTAATTACACATGATTTAACTATTACATCGACTACATACGCGGTCTGATGAGAGGGGAGAGTAAGGGGGGGGGGGAGTTCAAGGTGAGGGGAAGGAGAGGTATTGGAGGGGGAAGGTGAGAGGGGAAAGGGGAGAGAGAGAGATAGAGAGGGGAGAAGGGAAGAGGGGTGAGTAAAAATACGTGTGAGGGAAGAAGAGAGCTCAGAGGAGAGTGGGGGAGAGTAATACAGAGAGGGTGAGACACTAGAAGGGTGAGGAAGGGAAGGGTGAATGAGAGGGTGGAAGAGTAAGAAAGGGAGAGGTGATGGGAGAGAAGGGAAAGGGTGAGGAACAATTACCGAGCTATCGGAAAGGCCATAAAGTTGCCATTCAGGCCAGATGGCCCCAACGAGCCGGTATCAAGTACAAGATATGTGGATAGAGCGGTGGCTGCCTCCGCACGCGCGTGCACACACACACACACTCACACTCACACACACACACACACACACACACACACACACACACACACACACACACACACACACACACACACACACACACACACACACACACACTTCCCGGCTGGGAAGACGGGACACCACGAGCGTAGCTCTCATCCTGTAACTACACTTAGGTAATTACACATAGGTAATTACACACACACACACACACACACACACACACACACACACACACACACACACACACACACACACACACACACACACACACACACACACACTGTATTAGTCAACAAGCAGCAAGAGTACAGGAGCTAATGTTCGATCCTGCAGGCACAAATAGGTGAGTACAAGAAGATGAGTACACACACACACACACACACACACACACACACACACACACACACACACACACACACACACACACACACACACACACACACTTTCTCTCTCGACTCTTTACTCCCTCGAGTGAAGGAAAGTGGAAGCCTAGGTCAGACTTACCTGCAAATGCATGGTATAGAGAATCCATGAAGAGTATGTTGTTTGGAGGAGGATGGAGCCAGTAAGAGGAGAAGTTTGGAGGAGAGGAGAGAGAGAGATCGTGTAAGAACATCAGTTCTTCCAGAAAGGAAGGAACGAAAGGAAAGAAAGCAAAAGATAAGAAAGAAAAGAAAGAAAAGAAAGAAAGAAAGGTCAAATAATAGGATAAACAGGAAAGGACATGCCTGCAGTGATAGGAATTCAGGCACAGACGAGAATGGCTGGAAAAAATCATAATAAAGAACATTTTTCAAGCTAAGTTGGTACAGGATGGAACGAAATAGGCTGCTAAAGGTTGCATGTAAGAACTAATCTCTAAAAGGAAAAATCTGGAAAAAGAGTACACTTTAGCATAATCCAAGTTCCAATAATTATTTTCTACAGAGGTATAGAACAATAGAAGGACCGAAGACAGTAGTCACATTAATAAACAACTCTCCTCCAAATAGAAGATCAGAACATGTGAATGACAATAAAGTAATGTTAATCTATTATTATTTCAGTATACACAGGTTAGTCGTAAGTTGCAATTATTATAGATAATAAGTTATGGAAGATTTCAACCAAGGCAAAAAAGACAGGGAAAACTGAGGACACCATGGGCGCTAAGATACATTGACAGCTAATGTAATGTAACGATAAACGATAAATGATAAAATATCACAGCAACTATAAACGTTCTAAATCAACATGTCAACATGTCATAAGAATGAGTGGTAATGACGAACCTGTAGAATTTACCTGATTTTTGCTCTGAAAGCGTCACAAACATAAGGGAAGTCAAGTTTAGAGTTCTGTCCAGGGAAGGGAATACAGGGAAGGGATCACATGACTGGCTAGCTGACAGGAAAATGTATGAACAATCGAGAATTTAGAGCTGGAATTCCTATGAAAAAAAGTCAGAGAGATAACCTCTCAAAATATAAAAGACTTCCTCAAACAGAAACATCAGGAAGCAGTCGACAAGATTCTCCCTGTTCAAAGAGAGGTTATAAGAAGACATTGGATTAACTCCATGATTTAATCAGGAGTGCAACATTGCGAAACAGATAAGCATATTTACATGGATAAACTGAAGGAACAACCAGAATAGCGGAGAGCAAAGGGATTAACAAGAGTGCCATGAATATGTCAGAGGGAGAAGAGAATTCGATATAATTTGAAAATGATACGACATATAACAAAGGGTCAACCCAAGCTACTGCACGCCTACATCAGGTGGAAAGTAACAAGGGAAGAGAACATCTTTATAGAGAATGACAAGGACGTATGTGATACATTAGATTGACCTGTGGTTAATCCAATGTCTTCACAGGAAATTCTTATGCTGGCCACCTACTATTGTATATATAATAAGTCTCTAGAAATAGGAAAACCCCCAGAAAGTTAGAAAACAGTAAGTGCTGTACCACTAAACCAAAGTGTAGAAATATAGATAATTATGAAGAAAAAGTACTAAGCCATTGCGACTATACAGCTCTAGGAAGGGAAATGAGAATAGGGATTTAGGATAGAACGGAGGGAAAAGAATGGTGCCCAACCTATTGGACAGTCGGAAATTTAACCCCGACCAGCAAGAAGCGAGGCCGTCGTTCTACAGTCCAGTCCAAGTTGTTGAAACAAAGAAGGTATTGGGCTAAAGGCTCATGTCTGTCCCCCATTCAAGCCCAAAATTCAAGATATTCTAGCAGATCTCAAATAGAGTCTTGAAGAACGTATAGAAAGAAAAGTACTTGTTAGTCATCAACAACGTGTAGTTAAGGACGGCAAATTGTGCCTCACTAACTTGATCAATTCTATGATCGGGCGAAAGAAATCAGACAAGACAGAGAAGGCTGAGCAAATGGCAGACTTTTGAAACAGTAAAAAAAAAAAATCAAAAGCCTTAAATTTTGGAGCCTTTGATGACTCTTTTGGAGCCTTCTTTTGGAGCCTTTGATGACTCTTTTGGAGCCTTTGATGACTCTTTTGGAGCCATTTTGGATGACTCTTCCTTTCCAAGGAAAGGAAGAGTCATCTATTTCTATTTTTTCCCCTAAACTGCATCACAGCTTCTAGTTTATTAAGTCTACACCCTAGCAACTGCACCCATACTACACCCTAGCAACACAGGTTGCTAGGGTGTAGTATAATCAATACATCTTAGTGATCATCATGGGACGATTACTACATCGTTATCACAGCGATGCTGTTAAGTGACTATCAATAAATCGCTAGCATAATGAACCCAAGGTGTGGTGACGATCAATACATCACTAACTCAATAAACCCAAGGTATGATGATCAATACATCATTAACACAACGAAGCCTTTCACCGTGCAGGGGAGGATGATAAACGATTCTACCACAAGTAACACCATGAATAAATTGGCAAGCGAGCGCTAATTGGTGACCCCCCCATTTCAACGCGGAATTTTCACGACGAAAGAATTGAGAGCCGAAGCAGACGTAATTGCAACGAGTGACGAATTATTCAATACATTGTCGGTGGATTTATTTTTTTGTTATTAGAAAAGTCTCAAAAGCCTTACCAGAGCACACTGTGGTAAACAGCGAGATGAGACTCCATTCAGGAGTAAACGTCTTGCGAGTGTTTATTGATGCTGCCATAACTTGGGAGCCGGTTGGCCGAGCGGACAGCACGCTGGACTTGTGATCCTGTGGTCCCGGGTTCGATCCCGGGCGCCGGCGAGAAACAATGGGCAGAGTTTCTTTCATCCTATGCCCCTGTTACCTAGCAGTGAAATAGGTACCTGGGTGTTAGTCAGCTGTCACGGGCTGCTTCCTGGGGGTGGAGGCCTGGTCGAGGACCGGGCCGCGGGGACACTAAAGCCCCGAAATCATCTCAAGATAACCTCAAGATATGCTGCAACAACTATATTGACTGAAGTAGAGAAACTAAAATTAGGAACTCCTTTAAACATATTTAGAGTAATTGAGTAATTAGTTGCATCTGACCGCTGCATAGGGCAGCCACACATAACAGCCACATATGATAGTCACACATAACAGCTACATATGAAAGTCACATATGACAACATTAAAAGAGAGTATTGTATTGTCACAAATGACAAACTGCATATGGCAACCACATTACGACAGTCCCATATGACAACTACATATGACAATCACATACGACAGCTACATATGACAATCACATATGAGAAACCCCATCTGCTACATATGATAACCATATATGACAACATATAATGATAGCCATATAAGACAGTCACATACTATATTATAAAAGCGTATCAGACAACATAGTTAACTAAGGGGAACCAAAAATGGATAAAGATGTTTCGTTTCCAACCTCCAGAACAAAACCGAGCTTCCACAATCGCAAGTACGTACCTGGGAGATAGCTACTGAGGGCTGCATCCTTGAGAGAGAGAGAAAGAGAAAGAGAGAGAGAGAGAGAGAGAGAGAGAGAGAGAGAGAGAGAGAGAGAGAGAGAGAGAGAGAGAGAGAGAGAGAGAGAGAGAGAGAGAGAGAGAGAGAGAGAAATGTAGCATAAATGATAGAGAAAAATCGATCAGGAGTTAGTGCATTAGTCACGTACATTGTCTCTAGCTCATAGAGCTAGACGCACATAGATCTCTCTAATTCTATCTCTATCTGTCATTCCATAACTATGTCTCTATCTGTCTCTCCTTAACTCTACGTTTAACTGTCTTTCCATAACTCTACCTCTACTTGTCTCTCCCTAACTCTTTCTATCTCTACTGTATCCCTATATCTCTACTAATGTTTATGTATATAGGAATTAATCTTCAAATCAAGACGGGGAGTCTTGAAAACATATCATGAAAGGTGCAGAATATTAGGGAGATTAAATAGGCAGACAGCTCAGTGAAGACAATGGAGAAATATTGAATGAAGTGATAATGATGATAGAAAAACGGTTGCAAAAATATACAATCTAGGGTCATATACTGCAAAGACGAGAAAACATAAAACTAGAACACTAAAGATGGTATTTGAGAATGAAGGAGCTTCAAGAATCACTTCAAGAAGTGATGTAATGGAGGCTGACTCCATACACAGTTTCAAATGTAGATATGATAGAGCCCAATAGGCTCAGGAACCTGTACACTTGTTGATTGACGGTTTAGAGGCGGGACCAAAGAGCCAGAGCTCAACCCCCGCAAGCACAATTAGGTGAGTACAATTAGGTGAGTACACACCCGCGAACACAGCTAAATTAGTCTTCCAGACACTAAATGGAATGTGAATACTTTCGGGAATGCAGCACTTTCATGGAAGTCAAACACATAGAAATGCAAAAAAATGCTGGAAAAGGTCCAGATATTGACAAAAGTACTTACAATTTACAAATGTGTTGACCTAAGGGAAGTGGACTAAGAAGAATTTTCCCAACAAGCTGGCGATAAGAAGAAAAATGGGAGACATACTGAGATGAGATATGTTACTAAGGTGAATTGACCAAGCAGTGAGAGAATAAATACCCTAAGGTAGAAACAACAGTACAAAAGAAACACATGGATATATGGATACTACAAAGAGAGAGAGAGAGAGAGAGAGAGAGAGAGAGAGAGAGAGAGAGAGAGAGAGAGAGAGAGAGAGAGAGAGAGAGAGAGAGAGAGAGAGAGAGAGAGAGAGAGAGAGAGACAGAGAGAGAGAGAGAGAGAGAGAGAGAGAGACCGTCTTCATCGGGTCACTGGCCATCTGGGAAAATTTAATGATGGGATGTCTATGAATACCAATAAACTTATGGTTTGTAAATTCAGCAATGTGAAGATTAATTGGAATTTGTGTGTGTGCTTGTGTGTGTGTGTGTGTGTGTGTGTGTGTGTGTGTGTGTGTGTGTGTGTGTGTGTGTGTGTGTGTGTGTATGTGTGTGTGCGTGCATGTATATGTGCATTCTTTTAACTGTGTCTGAATGATCGAATTTCTGCAATTGTATCTTTTAATCAGTCGATTTTCTAATGAAATGATTATTCTTTTTATACTCTTTCAATTACTTTTATTACTTTGTATCTCCAGAAAGTCTCCTCTCTTTCTTGTCATTTCCAGCGTCTTTAGGTGAAACACCTTCTATCTACCTATCTTCATTCCCAATCACATTAATTATGCGACAAGCCCCCATTGCAAACTTTTTGGGCCTTTTAAAAAAAAGTTTCTTTTTTGTTCTTAGTGTTTTTTTTTTTCTTTCTTTTGAGGTGGGTATTCCAGATCGAGGAAGAATTCCCCTAGAACGGGTCACACGCAGATGGTGTTCAGTATTCTGATTGCCTCCTTATGTAGGCTCTTAAAGCTGTTCTGTTGTTTACCTGTTTCCATCAGGATGCTGATGTTATCTTATTTATGCGTGACGACTCTGGTGTAAAACATAATTAGACAAACGTTTTCAGTTCTCACGTAATGGGAAAACATCACGATAACAATCAGGAACTTATATTTGAGATGAATTAAGATAACTGTAAGCTACTTACTACCAGCCAACAGAAACCAGCCTACATGTAAAGTCTCCATCCAAAAAAAATTATAATATTCACAAATTTAAAAAAAAAAGAGACTTGACCCATACCTGTGAGGGATAAATTACGAAGAAAGGGTGTGCCTGGGTGAATATATGTGCATGAATATGTATGTATCTATGTGCGTACGAGACACGCGCGTGTGTGTGTGTGTGTGTGTGTGTGCGCTCGCACGATAATACAGGAGGTATCCAGGTGTGCTCCTAAGCCGCAGGTGGTCGTCTCAGAGCTCCACCTCTGAGATAACAACCCAGTCACTCCCAAACGCCACAATAGGCTTTCCAGCTAATTGAGGAATGTTGGCCAGAGTTCGCGTTGCTTGTCTATTAATACCGTGAGTGATCGCCGTTCTTTAGATAAAACTTTCAAGCCCTCAACCTTAACTTCTCAGCGAAGAAAGACGTCATTAGGAAAATGATTACTGGATGAGTTCCTGTTAAGGGGGGTATATAGTTTTTTTTTATAAATGATTGATTTAAAAGGCCTAAAATGATTTTTTAGGCCTTTTCTCTCTCTCTGTTTAGTCACTGTATACATTTTACTTAATTACTGAATTTCGGCTCAATTCTTCTGATTTAGTGTTAGAGGCAATTATATATATATTAAACAACACACTCAAAATATACTACGTTAAAATAAATGTATATATTTTCCTGTCTATATGAATATATATAGCATCCGGGGCGATAAATAAGCTATATAAATGTATTTATCTGCCCTAATGATTTAATGTGTAGCTAGATTGCCAATGTAAGACAATTTTATAAAAATAATACAATTAAACTCTACGGACATGCCTTGCCGTGTTTTATTATCTTTGTTCTTTCCTTACCAACTTCGTTTCAACTATTTCCCTTCTCTCTCTCTCTTCTCCCCTCACTTCCTCATTTGTTGCCATCTACTTCTTTACTTTTAGTTTCCGTTTCTTGAATGTTACCATTATTTTATCCTTCCTATAGTCCTTCATAGACATCTCTTCATCCCTGTGTCTAAATTTTTCTTCCTTATAGTCCAACTTTTTTTCCTTTCTCACTCTTTTCATCATTATCTCCCGTCCTATATTCGCCACTACCTCCTTCCATTCCCCAATCCCTATCTTCCATCCTATCTCTTTCTCTCCTTTCCTTTCTACTTTTCGTCCTTTTTTCGATGTGTCTTTCTTCCCTCGACTCTCTTCCCTCCGTGCATTTCCCCTTTTGTGTTTTTCGTCCTTCGTCTCTCACCTTCTCTTGATCCCACTCTCTCTCTCTCTCTCTCTCTCTCTCCTTTGTACTTCTCTCTGTCTCCCCCTCTCCGTCCCTGCGTGATGCATGAGTGTACCCATCTGGTCGTCGCTTCCCCGGAACATTTAATACCTGTGCTTGCGCCCCCTTCAATCTGTGGTTCTGCTCACACTTGTAATGCCTTGCTGTTTATGGTCCACTCTCCCTCAAACCAATCTCCAATATGCTGTGTTTTTTTATTGGAATAAATTAGTGTGCGGTGTCTTATTTGGTGTTGTAATGTGAACATTATAGTATGAGCATTCTTGTGTTGATTTATATATGGTATATTTATTTGATATTGATAGTGTTATGACTCTTTGGTTAGGGGGTCTGTGGGTATAATGTTGCGTTATGGTTTGTTAATATGTCTCTGTTTTTGCAGGCGAAAGGAGCAGCTGGGTGTACTTTCTCCTGAAGAAGAGTGCGGTGGCCAGGGGACGCCCAGGGGCCCTCCTGGGGTTACCGTGGTCAACTGCAGCAGCCTTGGTGACTGGTTCGACGTCGCCTCGGGTCAAAACCTCTCGTGGCCTCTCGATAACGTCACCGCCGGCTGCGACGGGAACGTTTCCGTCTGGGGCAACGCCACCGAGTACTCTATCTACGACAGCCCTCCGCCCTTCAGCCTTCCTTCCACCATCTTCATCGGCGTGTGTCTCACTCTCTGCATCATTATCACCGTCTTCGGGAACATCCTGGTGCTAATGGCCTTTATCTGTGAGCGGGCCATCAGACAACCGTCGAACTACTTTCTGGCCTCGTTAGCTGTGACTGATATTCTGATAGGGAGTGTCTCCATGCCCTTCTACACCGTGTACGTCCTGATTGGCTACTGGGATCTGGGACCAATACTGTGCGACCTGTGGCTCTCCGTGGACTACACCGTGTGCCTCGTCTCACAGTTCACGGTGCTTCTCATCACCATCGACAGGTTCTGTTCCGTCAAGATCGCCGCAAGATACCGCGCCTGGCGCACCAAGAATCGTGTGATAGTTATGATTCTTGTGACCTGGGTCATTCCGGCCCTTCTCTTCTTTGTCAGCATATTTGGCTGGGAACACTTCATCGGGTACCGCGATCTTGGACCCGGGGAGTGTATGGTCCAGTTCCTGAAGGACCCAATCTTCAACACGTCTCTCATCGTCGCTTACTACTGGATCCCACTGATCGCGCTCTTCGTCCTCTATGCCGGCATTTATCAGACTGCCTACCAGATGTCTAAAAAGGCGCGAGAGAAGAGAAAACAGGCTCAGGCAATGATGAATTTAAAGCCGTCAGCGGCCCCAGCCAGCTGCAGGCCCAGTCCAATGCCGACGCCCACCATGCCTCACCCCACCAACAGGACGAGCAACGGCGGCAAAAGCACCAATAGCGACGACGGGGGTCACGCTGACGAGGGTAAGAGCGAAGGCAAGATGACCATGTCCAAGACTCAGAGCACCATCATTAGCCAGGATAAACCCAAGTGTGAGACGCAGAGCGGCGCCGCTCCTGTGCTAGCCGGGAACGACACCACCTGCTCCCAGAAAATGTCCACGACAGCGACGACTGAGACAACAAGTTTCATGGAGAAGAAGGTACTGGGGAAGGATCTCGAGAAGTCCAGCAGCGGCATTGAGAGCGAAGATGAGAAAAGAGACAGCAACACAAGCTTGCCCAAGATCGAGCCCCTGACGCCGTCGCGCAAAAGGGCTCCAACGAGCGAATGTCAGACCAACTGCCTGGACCAGTGTTTGCTTGACTCTGACAACCCTCACCAGTGTCTGGCGACACCGGTCATTCACCCCGTGCCGGCCGACTCCGTGGCAGCTATCTTGGGCACCAGCCAAATAAATAATGGTATTATTCACAACGGGCTCGGCAGCCCGATAGTATCCCCATTCGATGACCTCCCCATTGTGCCTCCTCCTCCTAACGAGCCCAACCAGCTCCTGGTGCTGCCCCTCGCGGCCTCCACGCCTCTCACCCCCTGCACCGTGTCTGTTGTCGAACCCATCGCCCCTCCCGCCATGTTCGCCGACCTCCCAGCTCCCCAAAGACCGACCTCATTGGAACTCAAACTCAGTGTGTCTCTATGTCCAATTTACGACTCTGTGATGTCAATGGATACTAGTGATATGAAGTTTATGGATGAGAGCTCAGTCGTTGTTCCTTCCCCCGTGGTAGAGACGCCTCCGTCCTCCAGCTGGACCCAACAGGACGCCACTCTCTCTCCTGATGATCTCGCACGACGCCTGGACGCGGCGACGGCAGCCGGTTCACCAGCCAACACTGTCACACCCACTCCAATGCCCTCGATTAACGGTTATGGGTCTCTCCGTCTCGACGTTTCCCCACTAAGGACGACGCCAACGTCAGAATCAAGCCCGCCTCTCCCTCCCCCTCCAACACCCAACATCGAACCCTCACCATCACCCCCACGTAGAGAACCGAAGACCACGCCACCGCCCACAGACACCTCCACAACAATAAAGATCAGCTTAGCTCCTCCTGCTCCTCCTCCTCCCATAGTGTCAGTAACACCTAGCAGTCATCCTAACAGTATACAAACCTCTGGAATCCCAGCCAACGGAGGCCCGCCAAGTGCCTCTCTCACCGTCACGAGCAGAGGCCGCGAAAGCAGCATCGAACCTGACAGCTGCGCCGAGCCATCTCACGTGGACGAGATCGCCAAGCCGAAGAAAGGCGTCTTCAAGAGCTTAGGTAAAAAGATACGCTTCAAGAAGAAAAAGAAAGAGCCGGAGGAGAAGAAATCCAAATCACAGAACCGAGCAAACAAAGCCCTGAAGACCATTTCAGTGATCATGGGAGCCTTCGTGGCTTGCTGGACACCTTACCACATCATCGCCATCATGGAGTCATTTTGCCTCTGCACCAACAGTCACGTGTACATGTTTTTCTACTTCCTGTGCTACGCCAACAGCCCCATCAACCCGTTCTGCTACGCCCTCGCTAACCAGCAGTTCAAGAAAACATTCATGAGACTCCTCAGAGGAGACTTCCACGTTACTTAATGTTGTGCCCATTATGTAGAATCGACGCTGTTTTGTAAGGTCTATCGTGTAAGGTATACGCTCGTAGGTTAATGGCGTTTCTTACCATATTAATGCAAGCTGGTTATAAAGGGGGACCCATACATTGTATAGTGATGAAAAAGAATTTAAGTTACTCTACTGCCCGGCCGGGGAGACTCGCCTACTTGTTCAGACTTTGAGAAAAATTGAAGGAAGTCTTTTTTTTATCCATTGTTAAGCTTGTGAATCTATTTCAGTCTTGAGTTATTGACCTAACTGCGAATGCAGCGATTAAAATAGTTTTTCAAAATAGACAATGATACTTAAATCCTTAATTTTCTTTTAATAATTATGCAAAAGTGCAAATGATTATTGCGTCTCACAACATAGGAGTCACAAAGTGCCTTTCACACCTCAGAGTCACACTGTAACTAACTCATCAAGAATCACACTGTAACTAACTCATCAAGAATCACACAGTAACTTACTCATCAAGAATCACACAGTAACTAACTCATCAAGAATCACACAGTAACTAACTCATCAAGAATCACACTGTAACTAACTCATCAAGAATCACACAGTAACTTACTCATCAAGAATCACACAGTAACTAACTCATCAAGAATTACACAGTAACTAACTCATCAAGAATTACACAGTAACTAACTCATCAACAATTACACAGTAACTAACTCATCAACAATTACACAGCAATTCATCAAGAATTACACAGTAACTTACTCATCAAGAATTACACAGTAACTAACTCATCAAGTATTATACAGTAACTAACTCATCACGAATTACACAGTAACTAACTCATCACGAATTACACAGTAACTAACTCATCACGAATTACACAGTAACTTACTCATCAAGAATCACACAGCAACTAACTCATCAAGAATCACACAGTAACTAACTCATCAAGAATTACACAGTAACTCATCAAAAATTACACAGTAACAAACTCATCAAGAATCACACAGTAACTAACTCATCAAGAATCACACAGTAACTTACTCATCAAAAATTACACAGTAACTAACTCATCAAGAATCACACAGTAACTAACTCATCAAGAATCACACAGTAACTTACTCATCAAGAATCACACAGTAACTAACTCATCAAGAATCACACAGTAACTAACTCATCAAGAATTACACAGTAACTAACTCATCAACAATTACAAAGTAACTCATCAAGAATTACACAGTAACTCATCAAGAATTACACAGTAACTTACTCATCAAAAATTACACAGTAACTAACTCATCAAGAATCTCACAGTAACTAACTCATAAAGAATCACACAGTAACTTACTCATCAAGAATCACACAGTAACTAACTCATCAAGAATCACACAGTAACTTACTCATCAAGAATCACACATTAACTAACTCGTCAAGAATCGCACAGTAACTAACTCATCAAGAATCACACAGTAACTAACTCATCAAGAATTACACAGTAACTAACTCATCAAGAATTACACAGTAACTCACCAAAAATTACACAGTGACTTACTCATCAAGAATCACATGATAACTTACTCATCAAGAATCACACGATAACTTACTCATCAAGAATCACACGATAATTTCCTCCTCAAGAATCACACGGTAACTTACACCTCATAAACCACACGGTGCCACTTACGTATAAATAATTACACGTTGCCACAAAGAACTCTATAGAGCTCTCAAGTGCCTCTTAAAAACTCTCACACTACACTTTAAACGTGACACGACGGCACACTCCAACAAGAGTCTCAATGTTCAACTCTCAAAATCAGCTGATGACGTAAACACATCAAGCATCACATGGTGTCACTAGCACAGATCAAGAGTCACATGATGGATGATTGACTAATCAACTCCACCAGCCCAAGACAACTAGGTATAATAGAGTCCACATGCAGAGAGACACACTTACCACACCTCGCTACTCCGAGGAAAACTCAGTCAAAAAACAGAGACATTTGGCAAAGATACGTGTAAAAATTGTTTCAGTTTATATTTTTTTCCTAAAGCGATTTTAACTTCTCTAATGCAATATTTATATATTATCTTTTTTAATAGCGAGTTTTCTCGGTGGGCAGAGAGAATAGCGAATGAATACGTGGTCTCTTAGGGTTGGGAATATCGTTCAAGGCTCTACTGTTGTTGTAGTCTTATTTTTTTTTTTGTTGGGCATGTATACTGTTTACTTCCTTGAACTGTTTACCATGTATACTGTTTACTTCCTTGATCTGTTTACCATGTATACTGTTTACTTCCTTGATCTGTTTACCATGTATATTGTTTACTTCCTTGATCTGTTTACCATGTATACTGTTTACTTCCTTGATCTGTTTACCATGTATACTGTTTACTTCCTTGATCTGTTTACCATGTTTACTGTTTACTTCCTTGATCTGTTTACCATGTATACTGTTTACTTCCTTGATCTGTTTACCATGTATTCTGTCTCCTTCCGGTTTTACTTGATATGTGTACTGTTTCATTCTCTATTCCGTTAATTAGATATACGGTTTATTTCTTTGAGGAGTAGACCATGTATACTATTTATTTCTCCCTGTTTTGTTGACGATGTATACTATTTCTTTTCATATTCTCCTGACCATGTGCTCTGTTTCTTTCATTCACTCTGTTGACTATGTCCAACCCTGTTTTAGTGACTACGTTCATAATGTGAACGCAGTGTTGCATCGCCTTGTTTTGCTCTCCCTAAATGATGATAGCAAATTATAATCTTGATTTTTTGTGTGTGATGGAGCTAACAGGACAAACACACGAAGACATTATAAACATAAATAAACACCTGAGAGTGTTTACATGTGGACAATTGTAACCATGGTGGGCCAAATGTGTAAACAATTTACCAAATGATCATTAAGTCAGGATTTACTGATAGGTATTTCCAAGTTTTTAATGAACCAAAATATGTATGATGTTTCATAGCATTTTTTTCTATTTTTTTTTGCGCATTAATGGGTTTTAAATTCTTTTTTTTTTATAGGGTGCAGCTAATGAGTTTACATCAATTTAGCTATTAAATATGTATATAAAATTTTAACGAAGATATTAGCTGTTAAAAATATGTTCTATACATACTGGGAAGAATATTTTATTCTGGATATAAATCTCAGTTACCTGGTTACATGCATTACAAATTATTATTTTATGTAAGTCACATAACTCAATTTGAGGATAACATCAAAACGAAAACGGGAAGTTTTACTCTGTAATAAAAAAAGAGAGTATATGAACTCCTGCGAGAGTAAATTCATTGACCATGATCTAGGTGACACAATCTCTTTGACTTTAGCAGTTCCCCCTCAACCGTTTTCTTTAGTGTTTAATATTAAAGTTGGAGTATCAAATTGTAGCCGATGTCATCGACTTTACCTCAATTGGCACCCTCAAGTTTGTGACGATTCCGCGAGAGTGTTGTGACTCGCCGCCGCACCTGGTGTGTGTCTGTGTGTGCGTGCGTGTGTGTGAGTGAGTGTGTGTGTGTGTGTGTGTGTGTGTATTTCCCCGCGGACTGTTTTCAGCGAACACACACACACACGCACAGCTGGCTCGCCTAGGTTACAGCGCGACGATGGTTGAGAATATAGCGTAAATATTTCTGGGAGCCTGCCCTATGAGCCTTGAACGTCGGGGAAGCACCTCAAGGGCGTTCTGTGCCTACTCTCATGTCCCTTCCTCCGTAGACGCAACAGTTCTATAGATCGTTCTTCACCCAGGTACTAATGGCAGCTAGTAATAACTTCGGGTTAGCTTTCAAGCGTCTTGAATCGGCAACTGTTGAAGGGACAGATGCTGGGCAGTGTTGGGGCAGTGTTGGGCAGTGTTGGGCAGTGTTGGGGCAGTGTTGGGCAGTGGGCAAAGATCCGTCGGTGGTGAACGGATCAGTGTACACCTGTGTTCAAGGAAGCGCACCTTCACTGCCATATTTCTTAAGTAATAGAATTCACCGCAGCGGGCTTATTGGCTCATTCAAGACGATGCCCATTTACATTCACTCCCCCTCCCCCCCCCTCCCTCGTGTATCTATCGAACCTATTTTTAAAGATGATCATACGAATAAATTCAAACATGTTAGCCGGCAGCCTATTCCACTCGTCTGCTTCCCTCTGTTGCCAAATCAGTACATCCTCATCATATCCTAACTGAACTTGAACATATTCAGCTTAGGGCCATCGTCACGGGTTCGAACCTGGTCTGATGGTTCCAAGATTCTGCTCACATCTTTCCTGTTGACATCAGTCATCGAACTAAAGACCTTGACTATGGCTCTCCCTCGCCCCAGGGAGCCCAGGTCGAGCTCCCTGGGGCTCTTCTTTTATGGAAGGTCCTGAATATCATTCTGACCATCCTGTGTTGGATTTCTTCAAGAGAATCGATATCCATTGTCTAAATGTTCCGGTTTATCTGAAAGGTAATGTGAGTGTGGTAGGAGTTGGTTTGGCGTGGGTGTGGTTGGCTTGTGTGGCGTGGGCGTGGTTGGTGTGTCTGGCGTGGGCGTGGTTGGTGTCTGGCGTGGGCGTGGGGTGAGGGGGTTCCTGGTATTCCTGGCGTGGAGATGGTTAGTGTAAAGGATGGTTGGCGATGATCCCGTGTAGTGGTGGTGCTTGGTTGGTAGTGGTTTGTTTCGAAGTGTTTGGCGCGTGTTGTGTGAGTGGTGTGTGGTAACCACGCGACGACTACGGTGCGCGTGGTTGTCGCGTGTGTGTGTGTGGCGCTAAGTGTGGAGGGTGGAAGTGACAACATCAGAGACGAAGATTCAGTCTCCCGAAGACACACAACTGTACTCCTCAAGTACAACAACATTTATAACCCAAACGCCTACCAAGACAAGGTGCGCCTCTCTGGAATCTCTCGCCACGTAATTTAAATACATGTAAATAGTTTGAAGCTACTAAATATATTTTAAATAACAATGAAGATGAATTTGTGAGGACCAGCTTGAAGCTCGGCCATAA